GTGCGTACAGGGCAGGGGGGAGTGCGCACACAAGTATGTGCACATGCACATACACACATATGCATACTTCCTCAGTAGAAAATGGAGGGAGAGAGGACAAATCTCTGTTTGAGGGGTGGAAAGTTGCTGTGTTTCTTTTTTTTAAACTTTACCTTGACCTAGAATAATTTTTCTTTTACACCATTCTCAATACCTCAAAAATCAGGCTCCACACCTGTCATACAAAGTTCTCCACCATCAACCCCAACATTTAATGATATTAATAATATCTCATGTTTGTATAGCACTTTACAGCTTTCAAAGTGTATTCCACACACATTATACTACTACCCTAGATTTGTCCCACATTGTATGTCTTCTCACACTACATTCCAGCCAAACTTGACTTTGTTCCTTAGACATGCCATGAATTTTTCCTCTACTGTGCTGTTACTCAGACATAATTTCCTATGTCTGAAATTTCTTCATTCTATCTGCCTGTATTCCTACCTATCTTTTAAATATCAATAAATATGTGACCTCACCTAGGAAGCCTTCCTTGACCCCCTGTCCTCGGTTGGTAACTATCTTTTCCTTTGATCCTATCAAAGCACTAATGAATTTTTTCCATAATCTTATACATTATAGTTATCTATATTACTGTCTTATTGTATTTCACAAGCGTTTAATACAGTGTACTAGGTTCCTAAATATTGTCTTGTGGTGCTGCCTAACAGTGCTCACCCTTCTATTGTGTGCTACTTGGCTTGCTCCTTTCTAGACCTATGCCAGACATCTTCACCCTTTCTAATCTTGTACAGCCCATAGTTTAACTATTTCAAGGACCTGTGATTTTCTTAAAACCCCACAGCAACTTAGTAGCTGGTCCCAATATTTACTGTGCCCAAATTTTTCATCAGTCTTTAGCCACCCGAAGATAAACCTTTCTGAATTTAGCTAATTGATCCTCTGAAAATGGTCATACAATCAATCAGTCAAAGGCTTAAAAGAGGTGGTAAATGATGTTGGGGAACCACATTAGCATCCTTTAGTGTCAGTCAGACCTGCTTTTGTGAAGGGCCTATTCTTCTGAAAGCTTAAATTGACTATCAACTGAGAATGTATTCGTTGGTTGTCTGTTAACTCTGCTCTTTTGTAACGATGTACACAATGGCATTCAAGTCTGTGGGCAGTGTCGAGAAATTTCAGAAGGCTTAATTTTGATAACTAAAACCTTGACTAGGAACTGGAGCCAGCAGTTGTTTCAGGATAGGACATCATATGGGGAAAAGAGAGACTTTGGAAATATACATTGATGTGGCATCACCTCATGCTTCAGTGTGCAGCCTCTGCTATCTCTGTATACTAATCTAGGCACAAAAGGAGGAATTTGTTATCTGCAATTTTTATAGACTTGAGTGTTATTGAAAAGGAAGTGCTTCAAGGACATATCCATTCATTTCCAGCTTAGGGATTCTCATCTCATATAAATTATTTTGCCACTTTTCATTTTAATTCTTTGCTGTCATTTTGTGGTTAAAGACATCATTTGGTTTCTTCCTACTTTAGGTGCTCGCTCACTGATCATTCAACTGACAACTGCCCTTTGTCTAACAACGGTGTAGTGCCCCTAGGATTTATTTTATTGCTTTTTTTTTTATTGCTACCTGTAGATTTCTATTTATGTTTTTCCCTTGTCCTCTGTCTTAAAAAATGTCTAGGGTCATAAATTCCTTATATTGAACAGATGTATGTTCTGATCCCAGAACTTTCATTTCAGAAATCAGTTCCCTCTGAAATCTTGGAAAGAACAAAGCTTTGCCTCAGTTTCTTTAATTGTCAGATGTAAACAGTTTGGCCTCTCAGGAATTATCTGAGAATATAAAACAGATAGCAGGACCTTAGTTTTCCTTTGACTGCCTTGAATTGTTTTCAGTACATTCAGAAACAAAATTAGACTTAGCATATGGTCTCCCCAAGTAATCCCTTTGGTACGTCATATTAAATTATACTGTAGGTCACAAATGTATGCCATTGTTTCTGTTTGTATAGTAGAGTGTTTGACAGTGTAGTTTCATAACATCTCTTCAGCCTCCCTCTTCTCTAATCTAATCTACATAGTTCTGCCAGAGTAATCTTCTTAAACTACTATCTTGTTTGTATCCTTCCTGTGATTAAAAACCCCACTTCCCCATTGCCTATAGGATAAAGTCTAAGCACTTCAGTCCAGCTTTCAAGACTTTCCACAGTCTGACTTGATTCTGCCTTTCTTGACATATCTCCTCCCCAGCCTTTTCTTTATGTTAGGGTTAGTTTCTGAAGTCTGAGAAATTGTGTGGGGTTTTTTGTAATGTTGATAACTGTTTGTCAGCATAATTGATTTCCCTTGTTATTGTATTTTATTTCATTTATTTAAGAACATAACTCTGAAAAGGGGTCCATAGGCTTCTCTTGACTGCCAAGGGGGTCTATGATGCAACAAAGATGAAAAACCTTATGTGAACCTTCTATGACAACTAAAGGGATGTCCTCCATGTATATGTGCCTAATGTTTTCCTTTCTCTATTGCTTACTTTGTTCTAGCTGTATTCTGTAGGTTCAGTTAGTCTATAGACAAATGTTTATTTAGCACCAACTATGTGCCTGGTATTAGTCATAGGGGATACAAATATGTGAGTGAAACTGCTCTGGCCCTTAAGGGAATAAACAAAGTACACAAAGAAGTTAATATGAGGTCTATATAAAATAAATGCAAAGTGATTATAGCAGGTGGGGTGGTTAAGAACTGGGGTAATCAGGAAAGGCCTCACGCTGGGGCAGCTCTCTGGCTGAACCCTGAAGGGAGCTACGGGTCCTGAGAAGCAAAAGTGGGACACAGAGATGGCAGGTGGCACATCGTGGAGAGGAGATGATCAATCAGCCAGTTTGACTGGAGTATAGATTGTTTAAGGGGGAGTAGTGTTTAATCAGCCTAAGAACAAAAGCTGGATGCAAGTCGTGGAGGCCTTTAAATGCCCACAAGAGGAGCATAAGTAGGGAGCCACTAAAGCTCCTTAGGTGGGAGAGTGAAGTGGTCAAACCTGTGATTTAGGAATATAAATTTGGCCACTATCGAGAAGATAAATTAGAAAGAGAAGGAACCCAATGCAGGGATTTGCAATTGAGAAGCTGTTGTAGTACTGTTAAACTAGAGTGAGAAGGTTCCTGAGCTAGAGTAGTTGTGGCATGAGTGGAGGGAGGGGGAAGATTGCAGGAAATGCTGTGGAGGTAGACTCAATCTGTCCTGCTTGCTTAGATAGTCTGTCCTATTAAAAGAGATATAAATGAGAACTGCTAAATAACAAGATAAAGCAAGTTAATAAAAAAGTGTGATTCCTGACAAGAATATATTTCATAATAACTGCAAATATAAAGGATGTTTAATATAACGACTAATTGTTGAATTCTCCAGTTTAAGGTATGTTGAAATAATACATAATTTCTTGATCCCTTGGTTTGAAAAAAACTGTTAGTATTTACCCTGATTCCCTGTGCAATGGAATAAAAGCCTGAAAATTTACAGCAGAATACACTGTATTGGTCTGAAGTTAGGCCTCACTTTTCCCCCAAAATCTGCCTTGTGTGAAACCTGAATATGGCCTATACTTTATGTTATTCTTCAATGTATGCCTGTTTGTTTTCCCTTTTATGACAGTATTTCATTTTAAGTGTGACTTATGTTCAGAGGTAAGGTATGTTCAGATTTCTATGGACTTTCTGATCACAAACTCATAATCAGTGAATTCTAAATTGTTGAGGTTTTTATTTGTTCCCTGAACCATGACCAAGGAGCTCTGATGCCTTCCAGTTAATTTCTTCTCCAATGCACAGTTTCTTTGTAATTCACCAAGCTAGCTCATCATTGTACAGAATATTTTGTACAGTTATTGTATAGCTCTTCTTTGTAAGAGTGTTTGTTCCTCAGGTTCTTGAGTGACTGCACATTTATAACAGTATCTACTTTTTCTGACACCATTCATAACCTGGATATGTAGCTGATTCTGTATGATCGACATCATTCTCAAAAAGGGAATGTTTCATAGCCTCAGTTGTAATGGAGAAGAGCCATTTCCTCTGGGTCTCTCCATCCCCTTGGCCCTAGCTTGGATTTATGTTCTGTTTCCCAAAAAGATCTTCATGAATTAATGATTTATTGTTGTGGTTTTGGGCAAATGGTCTTGGTTTTCTGATATTCTTATGTATTAGCAAAAAAAAATGTGCAAACAATTCTTTGTCTCATTTTAGATGTTTAATAAACAGTACATTCACCTGTGGGCAGCTAGGTGGTAAGCGGACAGAGTACCAGTCCTGGAATCAGGAAGACTCATCTTCATGAGTTCAAATCTGGCCTCAGACACTTATTAGCTGTGTGAGTCTTGGGAAGTCACTTAACTCTGTCTCAGTTTCCTTGTTTCTAAAGTGAGCTGGAGAAGGAAATGGCAAACTACTCCACTATCTTTGCCAAAACAACCCCAAATGGGGTCATGAAGAATCAGACACAAATGAAACAGTTGAACAACACAACACATTCACGTACAGTTTCCTTGTCTAGACCATACTGGCTTGGCAATCCTAATTTTTTCAAGAAGGTCAAAAAGTAGTCCTGTTATTGGCACTTCAGACTGTTTACCTTGATGCTGCTTTAATATATAACACATATTACATATGTGTGTCTAGCAACACACACAAAGAAACAAATGCCATTCATTATCAGCATCTTTTTCTAATGAAGGGCAATACTGACTGGGTAATTAAAAGCAACTTCCTTACAATATTTTCCTCCATATGAAAGAACATGGATAAGAATCAGTCCAAGAATAAATGGACAGGTTGCTGGACCTCTCCTGATACAAGTACCCACATTGAGGAGAACCAATGGAATATTAGAACTTGGGAAGATATCTCAGTACTTTGATGAGAATATTTTGGTGTTTTAATTTTTTTTTTAATTTTGTGTTCTTATTTCTTGTTTGCTTCTGCAGTTACTTCAATGAGAATCAATATCCTGATGAAGCAAAGAGAGAAGAAATTGCCAATGCCTGCAATGCTGTCATACAAAAGCCAGGTGAGGCCATGAGCCTTCAGTTAGGGCAACTTCAGTTATCTAACTCTTCTAAATCTTAGCTCCCAACCCCTGACAAGGTAGCACTCCCAAACGATTTTCTTACCTCCTTTAAGGCACTTTATTTAGATCATCACTTGGACCTACAGTTTTCAACACTAAAAACTCCTGTTAGGTTCATAGGAAGAGCTTTTCTTGGAATATAGGAAATAGAAAATAATTGTTTTTCCTAAAGATTTTGTAAAAGTCCTTTTTAGGAAGATTGCACGAACCAGAGTTCTGTATGAATTTAAAATCAGAGACATTTAATGAATTCAGTAGTTTTGCTTTTCCATTTTGGCAAAGGTAAACAGCCTGCAACAAATGAGCATAGTATCCATCTTGTAATAACTTCTTTTCAGCTGAAGGTTCCTCTTTAGTGAGATTACAATGTAGGTACCACCTTCATGATTCCTACTCAAATAAACAGGCTATTTATGAGCAATTCAACTGTTCTCCTTCCATCCTTAAGCTACATACAATACCCTACTTTACCTACTTGCCTCACTTAGAACTCTTATGTACTATTGGACTGGAGACTTCAGTAAGATACCAGTCTCAGCACATGCCTGCCTTGGGTAGAATGAGACTGATCTGTGTTGAGCCAGCCCAGCCTTTTTTGTTGACTGAAGAATGATAAACTGAAAATGTTGATAAATTGGGAAAAAAAAAAAGTAATACCCAACTTACCTAGACTTCAGACTTCAGACAAACTCAGACATTTGGAATATAGCCCAGAAAACAAAAGTAAGCAAAAAAGACCTATGAACACTGAAACTGTATTCCCAAATCCCCAACACTAGTTCTACTTACCTGATTTCATAGTAAGGTTCCTTAGGGTTTTTTTCTTAGACTAGAGTTCCAACAACCTTACCCCACGGCAGATTGGAAGTTACAAGCTAGAAAGTGGGTGGGGTTTAGAAACAGATAACAGTTTGACATCTGAAAATGGAGAAAAGTAAAAAAAAACCAACCTAAACTAAAAAGCACATTTGCTTATAATGTGCTGTTACAGTATAATATAATAATGGATTTTCAGGGTCATAATTGACCCTGCTTCACCAAGAAAAGTTTATATTAGCTTTATTTTCTCTACTTGAGAAGTTAGGGAAGTATATAAAGTATACCCTTTAAAGGAATTATCATCAAAATGGTTGCAATATCAAAAGTTTGGGGACTTGAAAGTGTTTGCTTCAGTATCTGAAAAGTTCATTTAATGTGAAAGACCTCTTTTCCTAATGATAATGGATAAACATGAGCATCCCTCACTGCATGATACAGTTTAAAAAGTACTTGCCCCTTGTGGACATACTTTCTGGAGAGATGTGCCTCTTATATGTAAGTGCTCCTGAACTGGATAAAGCATATTATTGGGTAATTTTCATGTTTCATTCAAAAATCATTTATGTGCCTAATCTGTGCCGGATGTAGGGATACAAACCTTGCCTGAGGCCCAGTACCACCTAATTTAAGCCAGAACTTTGTCATCTGAACTCTACTGAATGCATTCACAGGCAAAAAGCTGTCTGATCTGGAACGAGTTACTTCCCTAAAAGTCTACAACTGGTTTGCCAACAGAAGGAAGGAGATCAAGAGAAGAGCCAATATCGGTAATGTATCAGAGAGGCTGCCGCTTCCCTCTCCTTGTCAGTAATTGAAAACTCAGTAATGTTTTGTGCTGCAGCAGTAGTTATGATTTCAAAGTAAGACTCCAGTAAGAAACAACCAGTTCTGCTGCTTAACTAGCTGGTCATTTTACTACTCTGGGTTTCAGTTTCTTTATTGTTAAAATGAAGTTGCTGGATTACATGATCTCGAAGGTTCCTTCCTGCTATAAATCCTATGATTTTATGAATACCACAAAATGATCCTAACTTCTAATCTCTTGAACATGTTTATATTATGTTTCCTTTCACCTTATTTCATAATGGCCAAATAATGGCATTTTTTTCATCACTGTGTTTATTTTTATGGTTAGTAACATTTCACAACTTAAATTCTGTAAGATATTACTGCCACCGAATATCATTTCTGCTGTTTTGAAAGAGTTAATGATGCATACTTGAAACTAGCTGTTTACAGTACCATTGGAGAATGACTCCGCCATTGTGAAGAATTTGTCTCAGGGTACACAGCCAGATCCAGTAGAGCACAAAGGAATCTGACGTGGCCAGGTTTGGGGAGTAAACTTTTGGGCCACTGAAAATCTATTCCATTATTAAATAGCTTGCCTGTCACTGCCCCCTTCAGAAGTGTTATAGAACTAGTAACAGGATAGCTTGCAAATAACAAGCATTTATTAAGCACCGTTCGACTTCCTGAAGGTAACATGCAGACTAGCAGGAGTTTTGGAGTAGCAAAACATTTTTTTTTCCATTCTTAACTTGAATGAATGAATGAATGAATGATCTAGCTACCTCTAGATGCCTAGACACCTCCTTTGTTGTTTAACAGTTTAAAAAAGTAACTGACTTTAAGCTAAAGATGAACATCATAGTTTTCTCAGCCATAGAAGTAATTCTGTATTTAAAACAATTAAAATAACGTATCAGATAATTTAGGGATCCATTTGCTTTTTTCGAAGAAGCAGCAATCCTGGAGAGTCATGGGATAGATGTACAGAGTCCAGGAGGCCATTCCAACAGTGACGACGTCGATGGAAATGACTACTCAGAGCAGGTGAGCAGCTGAGCAGAGGTCATTGATTGCAAAATGGGCTCAAATCCGTGAGCCCATTTTGTACAGGGAGGGAGGGGGATTATTCTCTTGCCGCCTCCCCCTCTGCTAGTTCCCACCATGTGTCTAGTCAGATTTTTGTGTAATTTGAACATCGAAGTGGTGAAGTTCAGTTGTCCTGTTTAATTTGTGAGAAATCAATATTCACCCACATGGATTTATTGTCATACAACAGGACACTTGGCAAGTACGCAATGGGGAGGAGGAGGAGGGACGAAGTTCTGAGGGAGGCAGAGAAGCAGAGAAGGTAGAAGAAGAGAGGAGGATCTGAGCCAAACAAGCAAGTTGCACCATTCACCACATGCACACACCCAATGTTTGAAAAATATTAGGAGCAACCGGGCAGCAGTAATTCATGCCTTAACGTGTACCAACGTAGAGTACAAGTCAAAGGCCCATCCACTGTGGCACCATTGCAGTGGTAACCCTCATGCAGAAATGAGTGGTTCTTGTAGATTCTCTCTGGCATGTTGGGCATACACGTGCTCTCTACCTGCATGTCTTCCCATTTCACCTTTATTTTTTTCTTCATTGGTTGGAGGAAATGTATTAATAGTAGCCACTGGATGGGATAAATCCATTAGCTATAAATGTGGGGAATTCCCTGACATATCTTGCTAAATTTCATGGAAATCTGAATAGTTTCAGCCTTATATCCACGTAGTCACATATGCAGTGTACCATACCAGACTTTCACAGAATAGCTTCTCTCCAGTTTTATGAATTGTCCCAATATTACCATGATCCTTGTTTATTATGGCTATGACTAGAAGCAATAGGACTGATTCTTGCTTAGTTAATATCTACAGAGTTCTTGAATATAGTTTATTGTTTTGTTTTGTTTTTGGTTTTTGTTTTTGGTGAGGCAGTCGAGGTTAAGTGACTTACCTAGGGTCACACAGCTAGGAAGTGTCAAGTGTCTATGAGGCCAGATTTGAATTCAGGTCGTCTTGACTTCAGGGCCGGTATTCTATCCACTGCTCCACCTAGGCACCCCTATTCTTGACTATAGTTAACAAAAGGGCTGGGGAAGAAAGACTTCCACTCCATGTTCTAGTCTGTGCTTGAAACTGTTTTCCCTACGTCAGTTTACCTTGATTTATTTCATGGCTTCTACCTCTGAGCTTGAGCACAACCATTTTTCAGTACACATGATACATAAGAAATTTATCTGATGTCATTTTTTTTTATGCACAGCAGTGTTGATCCATAATAGGAGTAAGCAGTTGCAGACTCAAAAACATCTCTGTAACCCTTCTCCCTGAGTTTCCAGGATAGAATCCCACATCAAGCGCTGAGTACACTGTTCTGTTTTTGTTTTTGCTTTTGTTTTAAACTTCAGGGAAATGAAGGCAAACCTAAAAGCCTTTCTGTATTTGGTGTCTCCCATCTGCCATTCTTTCCAGACCCACACGTGCCAATGGCTGTCTTCTTTACAAATATCCTTGAGACACTTCCCATACATCATTTCCTGAGAACCTAACCATCTCTTCAAAGCTTTTGGCATGAATTTCCCCAGGATATAACACAGGGTGAAATGTTCACTCAGTAGCTGTAGCAGTAAGCCCCATAATGCCCATTTCCATTCAGAGCTTTATTTCTGTGCATGTTGAGCTCAAGCAGGAGGAGTGGCGATCATTCCAAGTGAGGTAGCGGACACTCTCATTAGACAGCTGGCCGGGGCCAGGAAAGTTCCGCGTGCACCCATTCTAGCCTTGGTCCTATTCCAGTCGGTGATCAAGCTTTCTCTTTTCTTTATCTTGTGTGTGAAAACATATGTTCACCAACAGGCTAGTAGATATTTAGCCCGTGACACTACAGGCTTCAGTATTGTTTAGTTAGTAGGAAATGCTATGTAACCCTGTATAGGAGTTCTCAAACAGTACCTGACATTCCCATATAGACTCTGTAAGTCACACCTGACAGCTCTTAGGATACATAATACCATACATAATGCCACTGGCCTAAACAGAGGGACACATTGGTAGTTTCATGCCAGCTGTTACAACTTATATATTCATGACCACTAAGAAAATTTCTATCAGCCTAAAGACAGTCTCCACTAACAGAACAGATTAGAGTGCTTGTTCTTTGTCAGAAGCACAAGATGGTGACTGTGCCTCTCTCCATTCAGTGTCTACTTATATACAGTTCGATTTCATCCTGTCATGAGACACCTGCTCCCTCCCCCAACACCTGCATTTCCGACCTCGAATGCTTATCTTCTGCTTGCCTTTCCTTGCATGCCCTTTCATGAGCTGAAATATCATCAGGACATTAACATTGTTCTCCTTTTCATTCCGTCTCTGCAGGATGACAGCACTAGCCATAGTGACCACCAAGACCCCATCTCATTGGCTGTGGAAATGGCAGCAGTCAACCATACCATATTGGCCCTGGCTCGGCAAGGAGCCAGTGAGATCAAGACAGAGGCCCTGGATGATGACTGACTGACTGATAGAGGGAGGGTCGAACACAAGAAGTTAACTTAGTTTTAGACGTAGCACCTTAGCAGACTTTCCTCGGTCCTTAATATGTGTTCTTGCAGTATAACTTTGCAGTTTCTTGTATGTCAGTTAGCTGTTAGGGTCTTGTTCTGTGAAGATGGCATGGTGCCCTCAGCCTTTGCATATACTCTCTCAGTATTAATTCCCAGTAAATAATAACCAATCAATCAAGCAACCAAACGTCCCTCTCCCGGCCCCTGTGGCTCAAAAATCTTGCTGCTCTGTTCTGTCTTAGCATTCCAAGAAAGTGCTTCCAGGTATTTTAGATAGGCCTTGAGTTTCAACTATTAGACTACATGTAAAATCTCGGATAACCTTCGATATCATGTCACGCTAGTCTATCTACCCTTCTTTCCTTCTCTAAGACTGAAAGGATGCAAGCTGAGGTAGTGTGGCACAGGATGGACAGACACCACTTGGGAGTATCCGCAAAGAATGAAAAGAACACTACAATCCCCTCCCCTTCGTGTGAGAATAATGGATTTCCAGCTGCAATAAGCCGTGCCTCATTATAGTCACACTGTGGCTAGATTATACTTCTCTGGGTGCTGTGCTGAGAATGTCAATGGGAAAACATATTCGCAGGTTTTGGTTGATGTTAACATGCCCAATACAGACATCCTCTCCTATCACAAGCTGCGTGACTTAGTGGATAAAATACTGCCTTCTGCCTTTGGGACCATGTTAAAAGCCCAGCCTGAGAGCATTGGGGAAAATGAGCTGAATGTCTAATGGAGGCTAAGTTTACTTCTTAGAACCACTATACATTATGGGCACAGCTACTAGTGCCTAACCGGAAAAGACCCAGGATTCACCATCAAAGTTGCATTACCCTTCCCTTGCCACTGAAAAGAAAAAAAAAAAAGTTAAAAAAACCAGAAGCTCTCAAGGATGGGATTAAGGTCACAAATGAATGGGCTTATAACTTTGTCTTTATGACTCTTGCCTGCAACCTACAAAGTAAGAATATTTGATAGAGGACTTTACTACAACAGTTATATGGGGTATCATAAATGCAAATACTCACTTAAATATGAGCAGGAAAAAGGCAGGGGATCATTTACCACTTACATTGTTGGAGATATGATGGGATGTGACTGCTTTGGTGTTCTTCTTTACTCTGTCCTTGTAAAGGTATGAGAAAGTTATACTGCCACAGGCAATTTAATTAATAATTGGAAGCCATATTGATAATGGATGTGGTAATATTTGTAAAGTTTAATCTACTTTAAGCAGCAGTAACTAATGGAATTTTTTTCCTTGATCACATATGTAGCACTTTTGTTACTTTTTAAAGATATTTATATTTGATAAATCCTTTTTTCGTTTTGAGAATTCAGAATACCAAACAGTGAACTTGCATTATAGAGTCACCCTGCAATCACCTTGTCATCTAATAGTAAAATGATGAACTATCCATGCATCGAAGAAAATTACATCTGCTGGCATTGTCTGAAAATGATCTCTTGGCGTCCCGATTAAATGACATTGTGTCATAGCCGTTAAGAGGAAGCAGCATAGGATGTGTCTGAAGTAGGCATGAGTGCAGTGTGTGTCCTGCCTCGTTCCATCTTTTCTCTCCATATACAACAAAACCTTGTTTAATGGGGAAGAAGAGGGTAGCTGTTAAGGAGGGCTTCTCTATCTTTTGTTCTTCACATGAACTGTTTCTAATAGAGAATGAAGGTGCCATTTCTTCTCTTCCTCTTTTCTCTGCCCCCTCCCCTTCCCACACAAATGTTTTGAACTTCAGACCATTGCTAGAGAGACTGAGCTTGCTTATTTTCTCCTTTTCTTCTTCCTTTGAGTGGAGTTTCTTGAGCATCACCAAGGTTTTAGCCAGTATTCCCATTAAGACCCACACTCACCAAATCATCTCTTCATCGCCAGTCTTGCTAGCTAAATGTGAGTAGGAGTCAGCACTTTCAGAAGACATGAAGTTCACATCTATCCATGATTTTGAAGAGCTCTATTTCAGGGGAAAATATATATGCTTTTCGCAGATGTGGACAGCAGAAATAAAGTAAAACTATTTCCCTCTTTTGATTTATATTACTTGAATAGGCAAATTTGAGTAGCATGACTTAATGCTCAGGAATGAAATCATTTGATCCCACCACCAATTTTCTTTCTCAGTTTGTGGGTCTTTTTTCAGATAGAGTTTTTGTTCTCTCCTCTTTTCATTTTTCACTGAAGAAATATAACAAATTGTAGCTTTTTTATTTTGGGTAGAATTTTTATATACTTATTCTTCAGTTGAGTCAGAGAGAAAAGGACAGAGAGAAGACAGTCTCTCTCTGACAAGCAACATCTCTGATTTATTGTAAGGAGATTATGATAATTGATAGCTTCTTTATGTTGGAGCTCTACTCTCTTTTGTTCTTCCTCTTTCTTTTCATGGAACAGACTCAAACTGTTAAGACAGCTGCGGTTTCTAAAGAAATACACTGGTTGCCGTAGCTTATCAGAAAGGTTGCATTGTTTTAAAGAAGGAGAAAGCACCCTTCAGAAAATAAAGGGGAGTTTATGATGTCTCATAAGTGCAACACCAATTCTCTGTGCCTCTGGCAACATGCTAGAATTGAGGAAAAGTTTCCATTTAGGATAGATAAGTAACAAGGGTCTTCTTATGCTCCTGAGGAGGAGTGCTACAAAAGAGGAAAAGGAAGACTCGAACCACAGACTTCTTACGCACTTGGAGCTGGAAGGGGGCCTTAGAAATCATTGAGACCAACTCTGATTTTACATGAGAATGTATACGCCCAGAGAGATAGAAGTGACTTGCCCAAGATCAGGCAGGTATTAAATGGAGCCAGGATTTGAAGCCAGGCCACCTGACTCCAAAACCAGTGTTCTTGTTACTACACCATGCTGCCTCTCTCCTCCTTACTGAAAAAAGGGATGTTAACTAAAGAAACACTGAAACAATTAACAATGCCAGCCTACTCTTAGCCATCACATTTCCACCTGAATTAAAGAATGACTTCCTTTGTATCTAGATTCATCCTTAACCCAGATTCTCTGTTTTCCATAAGTTTGAATTCTGCTCTTTTATCCAAGCTACTGTAGTTCTCCAGGGAAGTTCTTAGTTAGATTTGACTTCTAATACTCTGGATTATGGATTTGGGGGTTTCCCACCCGGCCCCCAGGGTTGTGAAAGCCATCAGAAATTTTGTTTAGACCCTAAGCTTTTTTATTCCTAAGGGAGTTGTTTAAGCAATCACATTACTTTAAGAAAGCCTTTTTGTTTCATCACTTTTGGAAGCCACCTTATTTTCTGGTCTACTGGCCTTTTCTCTCCAAACCATACAGTGTACTTCAAGCCCCTAGCGGAAGTTCTCAAGTTCTCTTCTCCTTCCTGCTAGTGGAAGAAGCCACAACTCTTTTGCCACCGTTTGTTTATCTGATCTTCTTACAAGTATGCTAGACTCACCACAGATGAGTAAGTTTTCCATGTTTTTGGCAACCCCGTGAGAACCTCGTGAAGACCCTTCCTCACTAAAATTCTCCCCACCTCTCAAAGGAGCAGTACTAAATATACACATCCGAGACCCCGTGCTTTTGTTTCAAAGACACATCTACAACCCAGTTCACTTCAGTATCACTCATATCCCAGGGAGAGCTATCCAGGAAAGTTTTAGTCTTCCAGTCCTAGAAACTTTCACCAGTTGTTTGGTTTCTTTGTTCTGTGTTGGGGAGAGGCATGCCATTTGAGCTGCAGGATCTGGACAGTTTCTACAGTTACCTCATATCACAAAATAGATGCACTGCAGAAGGTGAAAGGACACTCTCGAGTGTACTCCCTGGATGGTGACAGTGAACGTAATCCCAGGTCCAGGTGTCTGGGACCCAGGGCAAGCAGCAAAGGATTCCCTTTCAACTTGTGCTTCACTTTAGTCCAATACAGTTTGTTACTTAGAGTGAAATGTGAAATCCTCAGTGTGAGGGCAGTCTCACAGTAGTTGACTTACTGTGTTGGACTTTGTGTCCAGCCCTTAAACTCTTCACTCAGCATTGTGAATTTGAATTTAGCATTATCTTCCTCGTGGGTGAAAACTGTTTTATGTATTGGCTTAAAAAAAAATAATCACAATAATCTAGAGATATCATTTGGTCCTCATCTCAAGTAACTTGTGTCTTGGTGATCAGTCACTCAGGAATAGCAGGCATTTCTGATGCCGTAGAATTTGAATGAGGATTCTTTTTAAATTTCAAGTGGTCTCTGTTTCAGTGTGGGGTAGTGGAGGTGTTCATTAGGCTCAAGTATAGAAATCTGATCTCAACAAGCACCAAGAGATTCATATTGACAGGCAGTCTATCAAATAGTCAATCAGCAAATATCGATCCACCTGTGTTGTGCCAAGATATCTTGATGTATTTTCACCTTGAAGGAAAAACAAAAGATTTCAGCAAGATTTTCAGCTTCCAAGTTTTGACATTTGTCTTTGACAGGTTTTAGCGGCTCCCTCAGCATAATCCATCCCAGTAACCCTGGCAGGCACTAGGTGTAAAGCAGACATTAGAGAGTTGAACTCATATTTGAAAGACCCCAGTGTTCGGGTAGTCCACCGACCTTGAGAAACCCTCCCAGGATCAACGCGAACACAACTCCGGATGCAAATAGCAAGAGGTTTATTGAACTTACGAGTACTCGGGCGACTCAGTCACCTAGAGGGACTGGCGCGCCGGGTGGATTCTTTGGTCTCATTTTATAGCAAAAAAGCGCGGGTACAGAAGCGAGGAGCAAGATCATTGGTTAGTTTGAATAAAAACTCCGGTCACGAGAGGGTTCTAGAAACTGCTGAGGGGCACCCTAGAAACTGTTATGAGCTCAGCTATTTCTGGGAATTGTTTGCATAAGTCCGGGGTGGGGACTCAGGTGCATGACCACAGATATCCTGTTCGGCACTCCAAATCTTCCTTGTTTTTCTTGCTCTGACCTTTTACTGTGCCTGGCTGCACCTGTCCCTAAACCTTGGGCCCTCCGGGTAGTTTCCATACTCCACGGAATGATTTCTGCCTCATGATTTCTGCCTCCTTCATTCCCCCATTTTCTTTGAGGGTAGCTCTAATCATAGAGCAGAATTAAAGGTTATCCTCGTTGTCTAGGGTCTGGTACTTGTGCCTGAGAACCAGAATCCTTACTGCACTAACCCTATCATTGATGAATTGCACTAACTTATTGATGACACAAGGCCCGAGGGTGAGTAACAGAAGGAGGAGTAGCAGGGGACCAGCAAGGGCAGACAGTAAAGTAGTAAGCCAGGGGGAACGGTTGAACCATCCCTCGTACCAACTTAAATTCTTTTGGTGCTCTAACTGCCTCTTATCTAACCTTTCCTTGAGTCTCCTCATGGAGTCTCGCACCGCGCCTGAGTGGTCAACATAGAAACAGCATTCCTCTTTTAGGGCTGCACAAAGGCCCCCTTCCTTCAAAAATAGCAGATCAAGGCCTCTCCTATTCTGGAGCACTACTTCAGACAGGGAGGTTAAGGAATCCTCTAGTTTACTTATGGAGTCTTGAAGGGCCCTAAGGTCTGTATCCATGGCAATCTGGAGGCTAGTCAAACCTTGTTGGAGGTCTATGGGCCCTTTTATTAGGGCGGTCGAGCCGGTACCTATACCTGCTGCGACCCCTAATCCGAGAAGGACAGCCAGGGTGAGTGAGACAGGCTCTCTCTTGTTTCTAGGGTGGGGGGACTCATAGGCCTGTAGCAAGGTACCGTCTGGGTGATAGTAGATGCGAGGGACAAGCTGGATCTGGATACAGAAATCGTTAGACTGGTTGAAGACTGATGTAGAGAGGCAGGGGGTGAGGCCAGAATTACAAGCCCACCAGCTGTGGTTGGAGGGGAGGAGGTACTTGTGAGTATGTGAGGCGTTTAAGGGTATAGTCAGGTTGCAGAGATGTTGGTGAGTAGGAGGTACTTTCCCTATACATAACCCGAGTCCAGAGACTTCAGTGAGGGTGAGCTTCCCTTTTCCTCCCCAGCGACATTGGGAATCTGTGGAGGCATAAGTGACTTGCCCTGGAGTTGCGATTCCTTCGTAATAAGGAGGGCCGAGGGCTAGACAGAGCCAGCAAGACTCCGTGGCCTCCGGGTTGGTGGCATTCAAGGCCAGAAAGGCCCCTTGTACGAGGCCAAAGAGCCGGTCGCCCGTGGTGGGAGATGGAGTACTAGGGGCCGGGGGGCTAGCCTGTACCGTGGGGATAGGGGACGCTGGGGGTGATAGGGTAGGAACCGGCACTCTGGGGAGGAAGGGAATTTTTCTGGGAGGTCCTTGTTCTGCGAGGACAGGATCGGGGCCCACTACTACCGGTGGGGGACTTGTGATCACTAGTCGTATGGTCAACTGCACGCCTGGGTGTCCAGTCACATAGAACCTTAGACCCCAGGTTCGCCCCTGTAGCCAGTTTCGGAACCGTTTGCCAGGCTCGGTGAACTCTATCTTGAGTGGGTTGCACCAACCGGTGCGCTCGCATGTCCCTGTAGGGTGACCCTGGCCTACAGTTATAAGGTCCCACGAGGACCGGGGTTGCCAGTAGGCGGTTCCCGCGGTCTCACAACCCCACTCTTTACAGTACAAAGATTCAAGTCCTCCGCACCTCCGGGCCTCGGACAGGGAACGGCCATCCCGGGGGCACACGTAGAACTGGGACCTAGCAATTCTTGTTCTGGCCCGGGGATAGCTACATCCCAGGGTTCCCCAAGTGATCTGATTATAAGCATGTTCATAGTTTGAATCAGGGGGCCTGGCCTGTTGAGAGGCCGATGCAGTGAGTTCCGGGATGTCCCAGGACTCGAGACCGGCTACCAGCGCGCACACATCAGGCTCAAGAGAGGGCCACCACGTCCAGGGTGGCTCGACTGCTTTCTTTTCCCAAACGACACTTCCCGTCTGGGACAGTACCTGCCAGGTGAGAGTCATGGGTTGGTGAGGGTTGTTATGCTGTTGATTCATTTCGGCGCCGCCGAACACGCAACTTAAGAGGATGATCAGTCTTTTCCAGTTCCCAGGACTCATCGGGTGCCCCAGGTGGCGCGGGTTTGAGATGAGAAGCATGGACCCAGGCAGCAATACCGTCAACCTTCACCGCGGTCGGGGTGGTCAGTAGCACCAGGTATGGGCCTTTCCACCGAGGCTCAAGGCTGCCGGACCGATGACGTCTAACCAGCACTCGGTCACCGACCTGGAACGGGTGGGGAATGGCCACAGTACCAGGCCTGTAGGCTTCTTTTATCTGGTCCCAGATCTGAGTCCTCACAACCTCTAAAGCCTTCAAGTGGGTAAATAGAACGGGAAAAAAATCACCATTAGAACCCACGACTTCCCCAGACGCAAGTACAGGGGGCGGCCCCCCATGAAGAATCTCATAAGGAGTCAGGCCAAACTGGCCAGGGGTATTCCGGGCCCTAAGTAGCGCCAAAGGGAGGAGGGTCACCCAGTCTTTTCCACCGGTCTCTAAGGCCAATTTTGTCAAGGTCTCTTTAATTGTCCTATTCATCCTTTCTACCTGACCTGAGCTCTGGGGTCTATATGCACAATGTAATTTCCAATTAATCCCCAGTTGAGTGGCCAACCCCTGGCTTACCTGAGCAACGAAGGCAGGGCCATTGTCGGACCCGAGTACCTTAGGGATCCCGAAACGAGGTAGGATTTCCTCAAGTATCTTCTTGCAGACGGTCAGGGCTGTCTCTGTTTTTGTAGGGAAAGCTTCTACCCACCCAGAAAATGTATCGATAAACACTAGCAAATATCTATTACCATACCGGCCAGGCTTAACCTCTGTGAAGTCTACTTCCCAATACACGCCGGGTCGATCTCCCCTTTGCCTCCTTCCAGACTCTCGGTAGGTGGTGACTGCGTTAGTTACAGCACAAACCTGACACTTGCTGGTGATTTCACGCACTACAGACTGGAGATTCGGGATGTGAAAACTGGTGCGACCTACAAGCTGGAGAAGCTTGTCTGGCCCTAAGTGCGTGAGCTGATGCAGCCGTTGAATGAATTCCCTTCCCTGGTCAGGGGTGAGCTCTCTCGGCTTGATCTTCCCCCGTGTAGGCTCGAAGTGTTCTTGATTTTTCGTGGTCTCCGTCAGTATTCTGGTTGACTGGGCAGCTTGTTTCGCGGCCTCATCGGCCTTTCGGTTTCCGGTAGCCACAGGGTCAGTCCCTCTTTGGTGGCCGGGGCAATGGATGATAGCGACTCGCTTAGGGAGATGGATGGCCTCTAGCAGGGCCAAAATCTCCTCTTTGTTCTTGATGTCTTTTCCAGCGGAAGTGAGCAGTCCTCTTTGTTTGTATATAGCCCCGTGAACATGAGCGGTGGCAAAAGCGTACCTGCTGTCCGTGTAGATGTTGATGCTTTTTCCTTCGGCCAAGCGTAATGCTTGTGTCAAGGCGATTAGTTCGGCCTTCTGAGCTGACGTTCCCTCTGGCAGGTTGCTCGCCCACACCGTCCGCTTGTTGTCCACAATGGCAGCACCTGCTTGTCGCCTGCCATCCATGATGAAACTGCTGCCATCCGTATACCAAGCGGGTACCCCGGGCAACGGCTGATCTCTCAGATCAGGTCGGGTTCCTGTCTCCTCGGCAAGGATTTCTGAGCATATGTGTATTGGGGTGTCGTCTGACTCTACGGGGAGCAGGGTGGCAGGATTCAGAATGGCCGGGGGCGCAAAAGACACCCTCTCATTCAGCAGCAGACTTTGGTAATGGGTCATCCTGGCATTTGTCATCCATCGGTCGGGGGCTGTCTCACAATACTTTCCAGGTTGTGAGGTGCAATCACCAACACGTTCTGTCCTAGGGTTAACTTATCAGCGTCCTTGAGAAGGAGTGCTACGGCCGCAATTGCTTTTAGGCAAGTTGGCCACCCACTGGCCACCGGATCTAATTTTTTTGACAGGTAAGCTACCGGGCGTCGCCATGGTCCTAGGGTTTGAGTAAGCACCCCCCGGGCAACACCCTCTTTTTCATCCACGTACAGAGCAAATGGCTTGGTGAGGTCCGGAAGGGCCAGGGCGGGGGCCGATAGCAGGGCCTCTTTTATACGGCCAAAGGCTTCCTGGTGGGCCTCAGTCCAGGTAAAGGGAACCTTTTCTCTCGTCAGGGGGTACAGGGGTGCAGCCAGGGAAGCGAAACCAGGGATCCAGAGCCTACAGAATCCAGCAGTGCCCAAAAACTCACGGACTTGTCTGGGGGTTGTAGGGGTGGGGATCTTCATTACAGTGGCCTTTCGGGCTGGGGTCAGCCATCTCTTCCCCCCTTTTAGCAAATACCCGAGATACGTAACTTCCTCCCGGCAAAGCTGGGCCTTTTTGGCCGACACTCGGTATCCCAACTTACTTAGTTCCTGTAAGAGCCTTCGTGTCCCTTCTTTGCAGTCTCGGTACGTTGGGGCCGCTACCAGGAGGTCATCAACATATTGGAGCATCACTACCTGGGGGTTGAGAGCCCTGAAGGATGCCAGATCCCGGTGGAGGGCCTCATCGAAGAGGGTGGGAGAGTTCTTGAATCCTTGCGGTAGCCGAGTCCAGGTTAGCTGGCCAGTATTGCCTTTTTCTGGATCTCTCCATTCAAACGCGAACAATGGCTGGCTGTTGGGGTGTAGCTTGAGGCAAAAGAAAGCATCTTTGAGGTCTAAAACTGAATACCAGGTGTGGCTGGGCGGGAGGGAACTGAGTAGGTTATAGGGGTTCGGGACTGTGGGATGAATGTCCTGTACTCTTTTGTTGACCTCCCTCAAATCTTGGACTGGCCGATAGTCATTGGTTCCAGGTTTTTTTACAGGTAACAAAGGGGTGTTCCAGGGCGACTGGCAAGGTACCAGAATCCCCAAATCCAAGAATCTTTGGATGTGGGGCCTG